GGGGTGGGGGGGAGAAAAAAATTTCACTGGATCATTGCTTCAGGCAATAACTTGAAGAGTGATTTTACCATTTTTACCCTTTTCATGTTGATTTTAACTGGATATGATGCACTCAGAGGTACAAATGAACAGAAAAAAACTGCTGCATGATTGCATTTTGGCAGCTACGTACAACTTCCCTGTATTACACAATCAGCTATTTCATACATGAAGCATACAAGAATAGACAGAGCCACCATGAATTTCCCAACATTTTGTATTTATTCTGACCACAGATCAGAGTTGGTGCTCCCTGGCTAAACTGAAACAGCCGGACAAAAAAAAAATATCCACTGCATACAATCCACTAGCAAGGGAGATTACAAAACAAAGCTTCTCCCTCAAATGAAGTTCTGTGAGACAATGAGTCGACAGCAAGTGTGAAAACCTTCGGCCATGTCCTTGATTCTTCTTATTCCCTCACCCCTAAAGGTTGCCTAGAATTCTCAGGAACACCCTGAATACAAAAGGATTGTGTGGGACAAGGTATCTCCCCTGGAGAGAGCAGTAGCAGCAGATGCTGCATCGTCCTTCAGCATGGCACTCCCACTCCAGACTCTCCCTGGCTTAATGGGGAACATCTACACAGGAAAAAAGCCCTCAGTGTTTGAAGCTTGGCCACCAGTTTAGGTGGTGCCTGGCAAGCATCTGGCAAGCAGAGAGGGGACATTTAGACGTATTTTAGGGCTCTGATGGCTTCTTCAGAAGAGATGTTAATTGGAAACACTGGAAATATCAAGTAATTGCTATGCAAGGAGCCTTGGGGTGTATGTTTTCTAGTGAATGTTCATCACCCTCGAGGGGAAGCAATAAAATCCAGTGCCATTGCCTGTTTAGCAGCCCACTGGCAATATTCTTTTGTCAGCTTTAACTCCAGCCTGACTGACACACCAGTTGTCTTCTGTTCAGAAACTGTCATTAGCTTAAAAAATCATATATTTCAAACAGGCTTAAGCATGCTCCCTCTAAAGAGAGATATATACCCGAATTTTGGACAAGAGTTGGGAAAGAAGAGCGGCGAAGAAGGAACAGGCACCAACGCCAGCATCGAGACGCAACAATTCGAACAAAAGAGATCTCAAGATGTCGCACTAACACGCACGCACACAATCTTCCTCTTGATAGATTGCTTCCCCTCGGCAGAGGGAGATGCTCCAGGAGAGCGCCCGCCCGGGCACGCAGAGCACGCGTGTGTCTGCCAGACGGACCCGGCAGGGAGCGCGTCCCTGCTCCGCGGCGCTTCCTACTGCGGCACGTCCGCGCCACCCGCCTCGCCCTTTGCTCAAAGCGACCCACGGACGACCCCGGGCTGCTGCACAGGGACCCCCTGCCCCCGTCTCCTGCCCCCCAAGGCCGCTGAGAGGAGCGGGGGCGGGTGCTGGAGCCCGGAGCGGGGAGCTCTGGGGGCACCCGCGGGCGCTCGCCTGCCGCCCACCGAATCCCGCTGCGGGCGGGGAGGGGGCGGGCAGCACGGCCGGCCTTTTCCCCTTCCTAAATGCCAAATTTTGTGTGGGTGATGTAGGGGGGAGGGG